ATAAATAAAAAATTATCCGGGCATGGTAGTGCACGCCTGTAGTTCCAGCTATTTGGAAGGCTGAGGCAGAAGGATCGCCAGAGCCTAGGAGGTCGAGGCTGCAGTGGCCGGGAGTGGCCACTGCACTGCAGTCTGGTTGACAGAGTGAGACTCCAACTCAAAAAAAAAAAAAAATTATCATAATGAATACTAGATTCATCAAATGACTGTTTTGTACTCATAATGGTCAGAATACAGTTTTTCATCTGATAATGTAGTGAATGACAGTAACAGTTTTCTGATGTTAAATCACTCTGGCAACCCTAACATAAACTCAACTTGAGCTGTATTTGATTTTCTCATGATTATTTCATAGTGACTTCAGGTGAAATTGGCCTCTGAATCTTCCTTTCCCATTTTGTCCTTGTCTGGCTTTGGCTCTCATAAAATGAGTTAAGATATGTTTCTTCTGTTTCCATTCACTGGAAAAAAAGATAAGATGAGAACAATCTGTTCTTTGACAGAACTTATGCATAAACCACCTGTTGCCTTTTTTATTTGCTTGTTTGGTGAGGAGACTGATTCAATGTTGCCATGCTACTTTACATATACCAGGGTTGCCCCGTATACATGTTTTCAGAGGTATTCGCCATAATCAGAAGTGTCTGGATGCGGACGGTAACCACTTCAAGCACCTCTTGTAATTACAGAAGTCAAACATGACTTATATTCATCTTTCAACAGTTTTTTTTTTTTTTTTGAGTTGGAGTCTCACTCTGTCACCCAGACTGGAGTGCAGTGGCACGCTCCCGGCCACCGCAGCCTCGACCTGCTGGGCTCCGGCGACCCTTCCACCTCAGCCTTCCAAGTAGCTGGAACTACAGGTGCGTGCTACCAGGCCCGGCTAATTTTTTGATTTATTGTAGAGATGAGGTCTTGCCAAGTTGCCCAGGTGGGTCTCGAACCCGTGGGTTCAGGCAATCCACTCACCTCAGCCTCCCAAAGCGTGGGATTACAGGCTGAGTCACTGAGCTTGGCTTTTTAACAGTTTTAATAGTTTTTTTTCCTTTCTTAAAAGGTGTATACATTTTTTGGCACTGTGTGTGTGTGTGTGTGTGTGTGTGTGTGTGTGTAAAGAGAGAGAGAGAACACTTTTGTCCACGTTCCTACTTATAACTTCTACAGCCCGTGACACAGCTTTCTGTTGTAACCCTGGCTGTGATGAACAGGTCTCAGGAAACAGAATCTCTCTGGCTTCCTCTTGCTCTTCTTTCACCTGCTCTAAGGCAGGATTTTTTGCCCTTCTTTCACCTGCTCCAAGGCAGGATTTTATACACACACACACACACACACACACACACACACATATATACATATATCTATTATTATAAAGATGTGGGGTATAATTCAGGGTTAGGTACACAAACATTGATTATGCAGGTACCCTTGTTGATGAGGTATGCCCCTCCCTCCCCTAGCAATTTCCCTCAACTGCCAATCCCACCTCTCCTCCTCTGCCAGTTTCCCATTACTGTCAAACACTTTCTTATAGTATTATAATTGTTCAACGTCCGCTTATGAGTGAGAACATATGGTACTCTGTTCTTTGTTTTTGTGATAGATCACTAAGTATGATCGACTCCAAATCCATCCAAGTTGCTGCGAAGTCCATGTATTTGTCCTTCTTTATGGCTGCATAATATTCCACTGTGTATACGTAATCTTCTAATCTTCCACTACCTTTCTGACTGTGGAGGCAGACACAGTGGCTCACGCCTAGAATCCCAGCACTTTGGGAGGCCAAGGCGAGAGGACTGCCTGAGCTCAGGGACTGTAGACCAGCCTGAGCCACATGGTGAGACGTCACCTCTACAATAAATCAAAAAGTTAGTCAGGCGTGGTGGTGCCTATACTTCCAGCTACTTGGAAGGCTGAGGCGTGGTGGTGCCTATACTTCCAGCTTCTTGGAAGGCTGAGGCAGAAGGATCACCTGAGCCCAGCAGGTTGAGGCTGCGGTGGCCATGAACATGCCACTGCACTCCAACCTGGGCAGAGAATGAGACTCCAACTCAAAAAAAAAAAGGATCCTCCCCAGGGAGAGTCTGGCCCTATACTCTGGGGGAAGAAAGGCTGACATCAGGAAACTGCCATAAAAACCCAAGAAGGCTGGGTCTGGAGTTTTTCCAGATGGCTCCTGGAGGGTGGTGGGCCAGCGGGGCCTGGAAGCTCTGTGCCTCTCCCCCATACCTCACCCTGTGCATCTCTTCAGCCGTATCCTTCGTAGTATCCTTCATAATACACCAGTAAATGGAAGTGTTTCCCTGAATTCTGTGAGCTGCTCCAGTAAATGAACCAAACCCAAAAAGGGGGTTGTGGAAACTGGACTTGAAGCCAGTTGGTCAGGAGTTCTAGAGGGCCACACTTGCAGAAGGGGGGATTCCAGGGACTGAGCCTTCAGCCTGTGGGATGTGACACTATCTAGGTACTGAATCGGAGGACACCAGCTGGTGTCTGCGGCTTGGTATGTAGGGAAAACCCCCCACACACTGGGTCACAGAAGTTTTCTTGCATGTTGATGATCGTGGTGGTGGTTTGAGTGTTTTCTCCAAATACAGGTTTTTGTATTTTTGAGCCGGAGTCTCACTGTCACCCAAGCTGGAGTGTGGTGACACAGCCACCTCAGCCTCGACCGGCTGGGCTCAGGCAATCCTTCCGTCTCAGCCTTCCAAGTAGTTGGAACTACAGATACACGCTACCGCGCCTGGCTAATTTTTTGATTTATTGTAGAGATGAGGGCTCACCAAGTTGCCCAGGCTGGTCTCGAACCTGTGGGCTCAGGCAATCCTCTCACATCAGCCTCCCAAAGTGCTGGGATTACAGGTGTGAGCCACTGCGCCTGGTCCAAATACATGTTTTTAATGGATATGGATCAATTTAATTCTTTCTCTAATTTCTTGAGTTATACACTTAGCTTACACATTTCCAGCATTTCTTCTATGCTAACACAAGCACTCAAGCTTACACATTTCCAATCTGAAATTACCTTGCTTTGAAGCTGAGGCATTTTCCACTGGGAGCTCATTGTCATGGACCCTTTTCTTTGGAACAGGCACTGGAGGGCAGCTTCCAAGGCCCCATGGGCCCCTATGATTAAGATCTTCTTGCCATCTAAGTTGACATCTATCAAGCAATTGAAAATTCAAAATTATAATCAAAACTTATGCTGGGGGCGGTGGCTCATGCCTGCAATCCCAGCATATTGGGAGGCCAAAATGGAAGGACTGCTTGAGCTCAGGATTTCAAGACCAGCCTGGGCAACATGAGCCCTTGTCTCTGCAAAAAAGTAAAAAAGTTAGCTGGGTGTCGTGGCATACTCCTGTAATCCCAGCTACTCAGGAGGTGAGGTAGGAGGATCACCTCAGCCTAGCAGGTCAAAGCAGCAATCGCCATGATCATGCAACTGCACTCCAGCCTGGGTGACAGAGTGAGAATCCCACTCCAAAAATTAATAATAATAGTAATAATAATAATAAAGTAGGTTAATCATTCATCCTTACCAATTTCTCTTTTAAATTATAACACACTCAACCTTATTAGAAAAATGTTCCAGTTGTTCACTTGTCCCTCCCAAAAGAATAGATGAGAATATTAAAGAAAATCAGCATGAAATATCACTACCAGCTGGGCTCGGTGGCTCAGCCTGTAATCCCGCGCCTTTGGGAGGCTGAGGTGAGTGGACTGCCTGAGCCCGTGGGTTCGAGACCCGCCTGGGCAGCGAGACCTCATCTCTACAATAAATCAAAAAATCAGCCGGGCGTGGTAGCGCATGTCTGTAATTCCGGCTACTCGGAAGGCTGAGGCGGAAGGATCGCCGGAGCCCAGCAGGTCGAGGCTGCGGTGGCCGGAAGCGGCCACTGCACTCCAGTGACAGAGTGAGACTCCAACTCAAAAAAAAAAAAAAAAAAAAGAAATATCATTACCTTGTTTCAATTAGAACTTTGCAGAAACAAATTTTTATTAAAAAATAATGTCGCCGGGCGCGGTGGCTCATGCCTGTAATCCCAGCACTTTGGGAAGCAGAGGCAAGAGGACTACCTGAGCCCATGTGTTTAAGACCAGCTTGGGCAACTTGGCGAGACCTCGTCTCTACAATAAATCAAAAAACTAGCCCAGCATGGTGGTGCATGCCTATGGTTCCAGCTAATTGATATATTATAGAGACAAGGTCTTGCTAAGTTGCCCAGGCTGGTCTTGAACCCCTGTATTCAGACAGCTACTTGGAAGGCCGAGGTGGAAGGATCACCTGAGCCCAGTAGTTCAAGGTTGTGGTGGCCATGAACATGCCACTGCACTCCAGTCTGGGCAACAGTGAGACTCCGACTCAAACAATAAATAAAAAAATTTTTTAAAATAATGTCAATACCGATAAATAGAAAGCAGCAGCCTTTCTGAAGGCGCATCCTACCTGATTTTTCAAGAAGTTCAAGTACAGCTTTGGCAACAGGTGAAACAAAGCATTCGTGGGCGTCTCCACGCACCAGCTTCCCCAGGTTTATGTCTGTTACTCTAAATCAGAAACAAGGGAACAGGTAAGTCAAAGCCCAGTCACCAATCACATATATGAAATTCACATGGATTTTTTTTTTAAGGGAGGGGAGAGACAGGGTCTTGTTCTGTTGCCCAGGCTAGTCTTGAACTCTGGGCCTCAAGCAATCCTCCTGCCTCAGTCTCCCAAAGCATTGGGATTACAGGTATGGCCACATGCTTGGCTAATTCACATGTATTAATCTCAAATAACATCCTAGTCGCCAGGCGCAGTGGCTCAAGCCTGTAATCCCAGGCTTTGGGAGGTGGAGGTGAGAGGTTTGCCTGAGCTCAGGGGTTCAAGACCAACCTGAGCAACATGGTGAGACCTCATCTCTACAATAAATCAAAAAAAAATTAGCCAGGCATGGGGGCACATGCCTGTGGTTCCAGCTACTTGGAAGGCTGAGATGGAAGGATCACCTGAGCCCAGCAGGTCAAGGCTGCGGTGGCTGTGAGTGTGCCACTGCACTCCAGCCTGGGTGACAGAGTGAGACTCCGATTAAAAAAAAAACCAACATTCCAGTCATTGTTTGATAGATCGAACACATTAACTATGAACTAAAAAGGGGGCAGGCAGTAATGCCCATTAACCTCTTAAATCAGCCCCTCAGGAAATTTCAGTCTGATCCCTACTTCGAGTGTTCTGGTTCTGCCCATACACCAGGACAACCCAAGACTATGGAGGGCTTCACCTCACAACTTCAGAGAGAATCTTTCAACCGACTACAGTGGAACGCCACCCCTGGAACTATGCAACATCGTACCCCTACAGTCCCTGAAACCCAGAACCAATCCTACAAACCTGGAGTGACCCAGTAAGACCTGAGATTCAAAGGTCTGATCCCTCCTGACCTCAGCACTTATCTCCTTGGGAAATCAGGAGAATGAGTGACCACACATTTTAGATGGGTTCTGTGCCCTTACCCATTCAAATCTAGGACAAAACTTTCCATAACAATCTAGCCTAAACTGACATTGTCAATAAGGTTAGTAATAGTAACAAAATGGAGATATTCAGATAAGTTTACATAATTCTCTTATGAAAGCCTTGAAACTATGTCCTGGTTCAGGTTCTGAACATTCTCTCATTGATAGGGCTTCCTCTCCCGTTACAGTTAGTCAACTATAGGACTAGAGATTTTCTTTATTTTTCTTTTTTTGAGTTGGATTCTCACTCTGTTGCCCAAGCTGGAGTGCAGTGGCACACTCACAGCCACCGCAGCCTCAACCTCCTGGACTCAGCCTTCCAAGCAGTTGGAATTACAGGTATGCGCCACCACACCTGGCTAATTTATTTTATTTTATTTTATTGTAGAGATGAGCCCTCGCCAAGTTGCCTGGGCTGGTCTCAAACCCATGGGCTCAAGCAATCCTCTCACTTCAGCCTTCCAAAGTGTTGAGATTATAGGCATGAGCCACTGCACCCGGCAAGACTGGAGATTTTCATGACAACTCTTCACTCTGTATTTGGGTCTACTCCAAGTCACAATTAAAGCCTAGCATGAAAGATACCTGGATGTCTTAGGGAGGTGGTAGCCTCTCAATCCAACCCTAAAGCAGGGGTCCCCAACTCCCAGGCCATGGACCAGTACCAGTCAATGGCCTGTTAGAAGCCTGGCTGCACAGCAGGAGGTGAGCAGCAGGCTAGTGAGTGAAGCTTCATCTGTACTGACAACTGCTCCCCATCGCTCCCATCACCATCTGAGCTCTGCCTCCTGTCACATAGGTGGCAGCATTCGATTATCATAGGAGCAGGAACCCTATTGTGAACTGTGCATGCGAGGATCTAGGTTGTGCATCCCCTATGAGAATCTAATGCCTGATGATCTGAGGTGGAGCTCAGCGGTGATGCTAGTGCTGGGGAGCAGCTGCAAATACAGATCAACATTAGCAGTGACTCTGCAGAGGCCACAATACGTCAATTGTTCACAGACTCGTATATCAAAACCCTACCCATGAGTGGTAAGTGAGTTGATGTACTTCAATTTTACAGTTGCATCTGGTGGCAGCTTTTTTTTTTTTTTTGAGTTGGAGTCTCACTCTGTCGCCCAGACTGGAGTGCAGTGGCTGCTCCCGGCCACCGCAGCCTCTACTTGCTGGGCTCCGGCGATCCTTCCGCCTCAGCCATCCGAGTAGCTGGAACTACAGGTGCGTGCTACCACGCCTGGCTAATTTTTTTTTATTTATTGTAGAGATGAGGTCTCGCCAAGTTGCCCGGGCGGGTCTCGAACCCGTGGGCTCAGGCAATCCACTTACCTCGGCCTCCCAAAGCACGGGGATTACAGGCTGAGCCACCGAGCCCGGCCTTGGTGGCAGGTTTTAAATCAGAATCAGACACTTATTTTAGTCTGTGCTTGGTCCACCCATTATTTTATTTACCACTCCATCCGCACCTCTTTTTTTAAAGTGAGATATACTATTATTTCATTACTATTACAGTGAAATAATAATAGAAATAAAGTGTGCAATAAATGTTATGCACTTGCATTATCCTGAAACCATCTCCCCTCGCACCCCATCCATGGAAAAAATGTCTTCCACGAAACTGGTCCTGAATGCCAAAAAGGTGGGGATCACTGCCCTAAAGGATACACTAGCTGGATGCAGTGGCTCACGACTGTAATCCCAGCACTATGGGAGGCGGAGGCAAGAAGATTGCCTGAGTTCAGGGGTTTGAGACCAGCCTGAGCAACATGGTGTGACCTCATCTCTACAATGAATCAAAAAATTAGCCGGGCATGGTGGCACATGTCTGGGTTCCAGCTACTTGGAAGGCTGAGACAAGATTACCTGAGCCCAACAGGCCGAGGCTGCATTGGCATTGAGTGTGCCACTGTACTTCGACCTGGGCAACAGAGTGAGACTTCGATTCAAAAAGAAAAAAAAAGGGCCTGGAATCCCACGCCTTTGGGAGACTGAGGTGAGTGGATTGCCTGAGCCCGCCGGTTCGAGACCCGCCCGGGCAACTTGGCAAGACCTCATCTCCACAATAAATCAAAAATTAGCCAGGCGTGGTAGCGCGCACCTGTAGTTCCAGCTACTTGGAAGGCTGAGGCGGATGGATCGCTGGAGCCCAGCAGGTCGAAGCTGCCACTGCACTCTAGTCTGGGCGACAGAGTGAGACTCCAGCTCAAAAAAAAAAAAGAAAAAGAAAAAAAAGGATACACTAGACCAAGAATCTGATTTCATAAATTTGCTCATAACCTTATAACTCTGTAATACATTGTGTTCTTTATGTTCACAGTATGAAATACTTCCTTTATTTCCATGTAGGAAAATGAGGTTTTTAATCTTCAGAAAATATGCTGACCCCACTGCAGATGGGCAATATTCTTTGTTCTAGGAAACCTGTGTCACACCATGACGTGAATCAGAGTCCCATGACGTGAATCAGAGTCACATGCAACATCTGAGCATGTGATAGTTAAGATTTCCCACTCAAGTGTAAAATAAAGCCTTGTATCATTAAGAAAAGTATTTGTGGCTGGGTGCAGTGGCTCACATCTGTAATCCCAGTACTTTGGGAGGCCGAGGTGAGAGGACTGCCCGAGTTCAGGGGTTTGAGACCAGCCTGGACATCCTGGTGAGACTCATCTCTACAATAAATCAAAAAAATTCCAGCCTGGGCAACTTGGCGAGACCTTGTTTCTACAATAAATCAAAAAAATTAACTGGGCGTGGTGGCATTGCACTCCAGCCTGAGCGACAGAGTGAGACTCCAACTCAAAAAAAAGAAAGAAAAGTATTTCCTGTAGTTCCAGCTACTTGGAAGGCTGAGGCGGAAGGATCACCTGAGCCCGGCGGGTCGAGGCCGCGGTGGCCCTGAGTGTGCCACTGCCCTCTAGCCTAGGCAACAGAGTGAGACTCCAACTAAATAAAAAAAAAGTCGTCGTTCTGTTGTTCTCAACCAGCTAGGACTAAGGGGGAATTATGGTTCAGCTAGGGCATCAGGTTTCTAGGTTGTTCCCTCCGGTCTGGTAGAATTACCAAGAAAAAACTCTTAGGAAGGCTGGCCAAGCTCTGTACAGGAAACTATTGCATGAGTACAACGGGCTAGGTGCAGTAGCTCACTCCTGTAAGCCCAGCTGCTCAAGAGGTTAAAGACAGAGGACTGTTTGAAGTTGCCGTTGAAGACCAGTCTGGGCACACAGCAAGACCCCATCTCCACAAAACATAGTAATAAAAAAAGGAGCCGACCATGGCGACCTGCGCCTGTAATTCCACTATTTGGGAGGATGAGGTTGGAGGATAATTGGAGTCTAGGAGTTCAAGGTTACCATGAGCTATGATCACACCACTGCACTCCATCCTTGATGACAAAGCAATACTCTGTCTTTATAAATAAACAAATAAACAAGTTGGTAGAGATTATTTCCAAAATGGCACCCAAGCAGTATAAAAGGGCTACTGTTATTTTCTAAAATATGCAACTTTCATAACTGTAAAAGTCCTCAAATTCCTGGAATATTTAAAATGATTTTTTATCTCCTAATATACTGATATAGTTGACACAAACAGAAAGAATTTATAAAAAAAAATCACAGTAGAAAAAGTGAGTTAGCAATAAAGGCTATTTGTTTACATCTTCTTACCCATCCACATCCTTTTCTGGTTTCAAGGCATTAAGGATTTTGTTGCTAAATGACTTCTCAGAAATCTGAAGGGCCAGACCATGTACTCTGATGTCTTCATTAATCTTCAAGATTTCATCTATAATCTTGAGAGAAAACCAAACAAAGCCAAAAAACACACAAAAATTAGGTGCATGGAAAGTAGGACCCAGCAAAAGAAGCTATCAGCAAACAAAACAAAACAAAACAAAAAATTGACTCATGAAAATGCATCTGTTACTGTTTTTATTTTTTACTACTTGCTGAAGACTCAGTGTAAAGCACCACAAGAAGCCCATTTTTTCTTTTCATCATGTTTATAAAACTCAAAAAGTAAAAGAGCTTGGCTGAATTTTTTAGTGACTTCTCCATCTATTGCTCTACTCTGAGCCAGAAACAAAAACAAAAACCCAGCCCAGCAGCTATTAAGGTTTAGACAGACAAAAGACAATGCTCTTTCAACAATCATATGTGAAGCCAAACACACCGCCAGTTTTCAGGGAGGGCAGGAAGCCTGAATCCCACGCGTCCAACCCAGCTCAGCCTATGTATGTGTACGCTTCCAGCACAATGTGTTCAGCAGAGCTTACTAATCACAAGTCCAAGAAGTCACAGAGGCCCTCAGATTCTCTGGACCTAAATGACACAGAGGAACCCTACCTAAAGGCTTATGTTAGAAAAGCACACATAGCTTCTTTTGAATGGAAACACTAAGATACTCCATTATTTATGAAAAAGGCCAAAGTACAGTTTGGGAAGCTAAGGCATCATAGTTAACAAATGTCCAGGTATTTCTCTAAAGAAGCAACACGTTGTCCTTTCTTAGCTTATCTCTATTTTATGCCAGGAGATAAGATCCTGATTCATTTCACTTAAAAATGTTTGTTCATATGTAAGAGGATACTAGCCAGTGCATTCAGATCTCACCCTGAGGAAGTATTGGCTTACTATTTTTGTTTTATCACCTAGAAAAAAATCACAGCCGGGTTCGGTGGCTCAGCCTGTAATCTCACGCCTTTGGGAGGCTGAGGTGAGTGGATTGCTTGAGCCCGCGGGTTCGCAACCTGCCTGGGCAACTTGGCGAGACCTCATCTCTACAATAAATCAAAATGAGCCGGGCGTGGTAGTGCGCACCTATAGTTCCAGCTACTTGGAAGGCTGAGGCGGAAGGATCACCAATGCCCAGTAGGTCGAGGCTGTGGCGGCTGGGAGCAGCCACTGCACTCCAGTCTGGGGGACAAAGTGAGACTCCAACTCAAAAAAAAAAAAAAAGAAAAGAAAAGAAAAGAAAAAAATCACTATGGAATTATTACCTGGCAAGGGGAAAAAAGCTATTTAACCCCTGGGCTCAAGTAATCCTCTTGCCTCTGCCTCCCAAACTGCTGGGGTTACAGGTGGGAGCTATCGCTCTCAGCCAAGATCCTATTTGCTTTCTTTTTTTTTTGAGTCGGAGTCTTACTCTGTCACCCAGGCTGGAGTGTAGTGGCACCCTTCCAAGGTGATCCATTCGCTGGAATTACAGGGGGATGCCACCATGCCTGACTAATTTTTTGATTTATTGTAGAAACAAAGGCTCACCAAGTTCCCCAGGATGATCTCAAACCCCTGGGTTCAGGCAATCCTCTCGTCACTGCCTCCCAAAGTGCTGGGATTGCCAGCATGAGCCACCATGCCCAGCTGCCATCAACTTTCTTAGATTGTACATATAATCGAGATGATACAGTATTTGTCTTTCTGTGTCTAGCTTATTATACTTAATATGTTGTTCTCCAGGTTCACTCATGTTGCTGCAAATGACAGGATTTCATTGTGCATATAGACCACATTTTCTCTATCCATCCATCCACTAATGGGCACTTAGATTGATTCCATCTCTTGGCTATTATGAATAGTGCTGTAATAAACCTAGGGGTGCAGATGTCTTTCAATATACTTGTTATGGTTCTTTTGGATATGTACCCAGTAGTGGGAATTGCTGGGTCATATGGCAGTTCTAGAATCTTCATCTGCTTTTTTTTTTTTGAGTTGGAGTCTCACGCTGTCACCCAGACTGGAGTGCAGTGGCCGCTCCTGGCCACCGCAGCCTCGACCTGCTGGGCTCCAGCGATCCTTCCACCTCTGCCTTCCAGGTAACTGGAACTACAGGTGCACACTACCACGCCCAGCTAATTTTTTGATTTATTGTAGCGATGAGGTCTCGCCAAGTTGTCCAGGCGGGTCTCAAACCTGTGGGCTCAGGCAATCCACTCACCTTGGCCTCCCAAAGCACGGGATTGCAGGCTGAGCTACCGAGCCCGGCTTCATCTGCTTTCTATAATGGCTGTACTAATCTATAGTCCCACCAAAAGTGTGTAAGGGTTCCCCTTTCTTCATGAGCTGATAGCTCATCATAGTTTTGACGTGCATTTCTCTGATGTTGAGTATTTTGTTAAATATGTGCCGGTCATTTATATGTCTTCTTTTGGGAAATGTCTATTCAAGTCTTTTGCCCAATTTTAATTGGATGATTGATTGATGGATTGCTATTGAGCTGTCTGAAGTCCTTATATATTTTTGGACATTAACCCCTGGTTGGATGCATAGTTTGTGAACTTTTTCTCCCAATGTGTAGATTATCTCTTTACTTTATTGATTGTTTTCTTTGCTGTGTAGAAGCTTTTTAGCTTGATGTAGTCCCATTTGTCTATTTTTGCTTTTATTGCCTTTCAAAGAGTATGTTGAAAGATGTCTGGGCTGGGCACGATGGCTCAAGCCTGTAATCCCAGCACTTTGGGAGGTAGAGGTGAGAAGACTGCCTGAGTCCAGGGGTTTGAGACCAACCTGGGCAACTTGGCAAGACCTCATCTCTACAATAAATCAAAAAATTAGCCAGGCATGGTGGCACATGCCTATAGTTCCAGCTACTTGGAAGGCTGAGGCGGAAGGATCACCTGAGCCCAGCAGGTCGAGGCTGTGGTGGCCATGAGCATGCCACTGCACTCCAGTCTGGGCCACTGAGTGAGACTCTGACTCAAAAAAGATTAAAAAAAAAAAAAAAGACGTCTGCACTCCCAGGTTTATTACAGCTCTATTCACAATAGCCAAGAGATGGAATCAATCTAAGTGCCCATTAATGGACGAATGGATAGAGAAAATGTGGTCTATATGCACAATGGGATGAAATACTATCATTTGCAGCATCATTAGTGAACCTGCAGGACATTATATTAAGTGTAATAAGCCAGACACAGAACGACAAATACGGTATCATCTCAATTGTATGTGTGATCTAAGAAAGTTGATTGCAGCTGGACACGGTGGCTCATGCCTGCAATCCCAGCACTTTGAGAGGCAGAGACGAGAGGATTACCTGAGGCCAGGGGGGGAAATTGGCGAGCCTTTGTCTCTATAATAAATCAAAAAACTAGCCAGGCGTGGGGTTGCCCCTCTGTAATTCTGGCTATTTGGAAGGCTGAGGCAGAAGGATCACCTGGGCCCAGCAGGTTGAGGCTGCCATGGCCGTGGGCGTACCACTGCACTCCAGCCTAGACGAACAAAGACTCCGGCTCAAAAAAAAAAAAAAAAAAAAAAAAAAGAAAAGAGGATCTTGGCCAGTGCAGTGGCTCATGCCTGTAACCCCAGTACATTGAGAGGCAGAAGCAAGAGGATTGCCTGAGCCCAAGGAATTGAGACCAATCCGGGCAACTTGACGAGACTTTGTCTCTATAATAAATCAAAAAATCAGCTGGGCATGGTGGCACGCACGTGCCTGTAGTTCCAGCCTCTTGGAAGCCTGAGGCAGAAGGATCCCTGAGCCCAGCAGGTCGAGGCTGCGGTGGCTGTGCGTGTGCCACTGTACTCCAGCCTGGGCAAGATTGAGACTTCGACTCAAAAAAAGGCAAAAAACCGTCTTTCTGACTCTCAGGAGGACCGCACATCTTGTGGGTAGAGCCTTCTCCTTATTGCAATAGTCCCTTTACCTACCTTGGAATAATGTTTTACTAAGTTGCAATTTCTTTCTCCTTTTTTTTTGGTCAGGGTCTCACTCTGTCACCCAAGCTACAGTGACACGATCATAGCTCACCACAGCCTCAAACTCCTAGGTTCAGGCGATCCTTCCAAGTAGCTGGGACTCCAGGCACACACCACCATGCCCAGTTAATTTTTTGTCTTTTGGAGAGATGAGCCATGTTGCCTGGGCTGGTCTCGAATTTGTGGGCTCAAGCAATTCTCCTGCCTCAGCCTCCCAAAGTGCTGGGGTTACAGACATGAGCCACCATTCCCAGACCCAATTTATTTATTTATTTATTTTTCGAGTTGGAGTCTCACTGTTGCCCCAGCTGTAGTGCAGTGTGGCACGTTCACAGCCACCCCAGCATTGACCTATTGGGCTCAGGCGATCCTTCCGTCTCAGACTTCCAAGTAACTGGAACTACAAGTGTGGCACCATGTCCAGCTAATTTTTTGATTTACTGTAGAGATGAGATCTCACCGAGTTGCCCGGGCTGTTCTTAAACCCGAGAGCTTAAGCAATCTCCTCACCTTAGCCTCCCAAAGTGCTGGGATTACTGGCTTGAGCTATCACACCCGGCCCCAATCTATTTCTTATTTGACACTGGCTAGGTCGTGGATGTGACTGGTAGAGCTGAACTGCCATCTTGAACTAAGAAATAGCAAAACAACAGTGGCAGAGCCGAGGGACAGAAGGAGCCCGAATTTCTATGCCCTGGTGACACCACCAGCCAAGGATTAGAAACTTCCAAACTTTATTCACGTACTGGAAAAACAGACTCCTGTGTTATTTAAGACTCTGTTAGTTGACATTTTCTATCCTATGAAGCCAGTTGGAAGAAAAGCAGGCATCAGAGGGACCCAGCCCTGGTATGGGGACCTATGACTTGAGGCCCAATCTCCTCATTTCTGCACTGGGGTGGGGAGGTTGTGGCTGCTTCTCCCAGGTTTGAGATGACGCTTGGGGAGGTTGTCACAGAAGCAACTAGATCATGTGAGCAGCAGTGAAAGAATCTATGACTATTTTTTAACAGCTGTCCCAAAACGTCAAGGAAGGACTCACAGCCGTTATTCTAAAAAGACTCTGAAGATCACCTCAACCTGTTCCTTTATTTTATGGCTACTATGACTCAGACAAACCAAAGAACAGCTCGAGGTCAAACAACCTGTCAGGTTGGGGCAAGAGGAACCGGTTCCCCAGACACCCACAGCCCGACAATTTCCACTAGAAGACACTGTCCCTACCGCTGAGGAAACAACTCTGATCACCAAGTCTTCAGTAGAAACATACAAATCACAAGGGACAAAAAGATGAAGAAGCATCTACACTGAGGGAATAAAAGGAGGGACTCACTGGACATAGTGGTTCACCCCTGTAATCCTAGCACTTTGGGAGGCGGGAGAACTGCCTGAGCCCATGGTTCGAGACCAGCCTGGGCAATTTGGCGAGACTTGTTCTTTACAACAAATCAAGAAATATTAGTTGGGCATGGTGGTGCAAGTCCATAGTTCCAGCTACTTGAAAGGCTGAGGCAGAAGGATCACCTGAGCCCAGCAGGTTGAGGCTGCGGTGGCCATGAACATGCCACTGCACTCCGGTCTGGGCGACAAGAGTGAGACTCCAACTAAAAAAAAAAAGGGGAGGGCATGGGAGACTCGTTCCTCTAAAAACTCAGCCACAGCCGGGCTCTGTGGCTCAGCCTGTAATCCCATGCCTTTGGGAGGCTGAAGTGAGTGGATTGCCTGAGCCCGCGGGTTCGAGACCCGCCTGGGCAGCGAGACCTCATCTCTACAATAAATCAAAAAATCAGCCAGGCGTGGTAGCGCATGCCTGTAATTCCAGCTACGCGGAAGGCTGAGGAGGAAGGATCGCCGGAGCCCAGCACTCCAGTCTGGGTGACAGAGTGAGACTCCAACTCAAAAAAAAAAAACTCAGCCACAAGAAAAGGCTGGATTTGGATGGGATCAGTGGTTCAGCCTGTAATCCCAGCACTTTGGGAGGCCAAGGCCGGAGGATTGCCTGAGCCCACGGGTTCAAGACCAGCCCACGCAATATGGCAAGACCTCGACTCTACCACAAATAAAAAAAATTAGCCGGACGTGATAGCGCATGCCTGTAGCTCAGGCTGAGGTGGAAGGATCGCCAGAACCCAGCAGGTCAATGCTGGGGTGGCCGTGAGTATGCCACTGTACTCCAGCCTGGGCAACAGAGTGAGATTTCAACTAAAAAAAAAGGCTGGATTTGTTCCAGACACAACTAAGAGGTGTCAACAGGCCTATTAAGTCTAAAGAAGACAGGGTTGAAGTGCTCTGAGATTACCTCCTCTTCACCGCTGTCGGGAGGAAGGCAAATGTGGGTGATGTTCAGACCAGCCTGAAAAGGGAACACAAGGTCATCTGTCACTATAAGAGAACACGCTGTAAAAAATTATAATGAATTCTTTAAAAATCAAAATGAATTTTAAAAAAAAATCAAAAATCCTCACCTCCTCAGCCAAATTCTGGTTGACTTCCTGCATCAAGTTGTCATCACCTACCTTAGGAGGGGGAGGAAGAAAGAGAATTAAAATATCGTGAAAAGGCACAAAACACAATAGAAACCAATTTTGTGATTACAGATGACCTGAATACAAAGGCGACGTGGAAAATGTGGAAAATAATCCTACTGCTTAGGAATAGGGACTAATGGCCAGTATTTATGAGCATATTAATTTCTCAGGAGGATTGCTTAAGCCCAGGAGTTCAAGACCAGCCTAGGCAACATAACCAGACCTTGTCTCTACAAAAATTCAAAAAATTAGCCAGGCATGGTAGCACACACTTGCAGTCTCAGGTACTTGGAAGGCTAAGGCTGAAGGATTGCCTGAGTCTAGGAGGCCAAGGCTGCGGTGAGCTGTGATCATACTACTGAACTTCAGCCTGGGTGACAGAGTAAGACAGTGACTCACAAAAAGAAAAAAAATATTTTCTCAGGCTTTCAACTTATGTTGCTTTTTTTAAAAAAGTAGTATTTCTCAGGAGATAAGACACACATAGTAACACAGTCAACTTCCTTCTCTAAATGAGGACACCAAAGATAGGAATGTAAACAGTTTTTCCCTTAGGTGGAAAGCCAAGGAGTCAGTACGTTCCCAGAAGTTTAAGCTCCTCCTTTAATTTTCTTTGTTTTTTTCTTTTTTTTTTTTTTTTTGAGTATGAGTCACACTCTGTCACCCAGGCTGGAGTGCAGTGGCACACTCATGGCCACTGCAGCCTTGACCTGCTGGGCTCAGGCAATCCTTCCGCTTCAGCCTTCCAAGTAGCTGGAACCGCAGGCACACACCACCACACCCAGCTAATTTTTTGATTTATTGTAGAGGTGAGGTCTCACCATGTTGCTCAGGCTGGTCTCAAACTCCTGAGTTCAGGCAATTCTCTGGCCTCTGCTTTCCAAAGTGCTGGAATTACAGACGTGAGCCACCGTGTCCAGCTTGTTTTCTATTTAAACATTTTTAAAAAAATTTTAATTCTTTGTAAAGACAGGGTCTGGAATTCCAAGCCTCAACTGATCCTCCTGCTTAGGCCTCTCACAGTACAGAAGTTATAGGATGAGTCCAGGCACAGGGGGTCACACCTGTCAGGCACTTTGAGAGGCAGAGGCAAGAGGACTATCTGAGCCCAGGGATTCGAGACCACTATGGGCAACTTGGTGAGACCTCGTCTCTACAATAAATCAAAAAATTAGCTGGGTGTGGTGGTGTGCACCTCTGGTTACAGCCACTTTGAAGGCTGAGGCAGAAGGATGGCCTGAGCCCAGTAGGTTGAGGCTGCAGTAGCCATGAGCGTACCACTGCATTCTAGCCTGGGCAATAGAGTGAAACTCTTCCTCAAAAACAATGGTAATAATAACAGGCCAGGCACAGTGGCTCATGCCTACAAGCCCAGCACTTTGGGAGGCTGAGGTGAGAGGATTGCTTGAGCTCTTGGGTTCAAGACGAGTTTGGGCAACTTGGCGAGACCTCATCTCTACAATAAATCAAACAATTAGCTGGGTGTGGTGGCACATGCCTGTAGTTCCAGCTACCTGGAAGGCTGAGGCAGAAGGATCTCCTGAACCCAGCAGGTCGAGGCTGCAGTGGCCATGAATGTGCTACTAGCCTGGGTAACAGAGTGAGACTACAACTCAAAACAATAATAATAATAATAATAAAATTACCAGGTGAGCTACTGTGCCCAGCCTCTAACTAGCTTTCTTTGCAAGATGTGGATAAGTACACCCTGAAGAACGGAATAACTTGAGCACAGTATCACAATCTTGAGACCCAAGCACCAATCGATGGAACTGGAGGCTGCTAGTTTGATAGTGTAAGCATGCGCCAAACCCACAATAGCCGCCCATCAGTCAGCTGTGTCAGCTTACAGGCTTGGCTCACCACCCAATTTCTCGGCACCTGCCATCACACAAGTGTGCCAATCAGGATGGCAGCCAATGCCAACTGCAGCTCAGACCCAGGGACTACAGCCAAGAGATGTGGGTGGCATGCAGAGTTCTTTTGGCAGAGTAATGGCTTTTGGCCCATCAAGTTCATGGTGGGCTTTGAAAGACACACCTGTCATCCATGGAAACAAAGGCGAACTTGTTCCCATCACCTTCAAATCATATTTGGTAAGCATTTATGAGCACATGTGGACAACAATACATCCTGTGGAGTGCAAATCACATGAGCACTACCCTGACTTCTGAAAGCCACCCACACCCCAAAGAAAAAGACTCACAGAAGACAGGTTCTGAGCTGCACTTAACCTGTGACCCTGAAGCTGCAAATAACCAGAGAAAGGGGAAACGACAGCATTGCCAACTAGCCCTCTCTTCTTTGACAAGCAATGCAGCTGGTCTTTTATAGAATTATTTTCTAAATTCAAAGGCATGGGTGGGGCACAATGGCTCCTGGCTTTAATCTTAGCACTTTGGGAGCCTAAGACAGGAGAATGGCTTGAGCCCAGGAGTTCAAGACCAGCCTGGACAACATAATGAGATCTCGTCTGTACAAAAAACACAAAATTAGCCGAGCATGGTGGTGCATGCCTATAGTCCCAATTACTCAAGAAGCTGAGACAGAAGGATCATCTGAGCCCAGAAGGTAGAGGCTGCAGTGAGCAGGGATCGAGCCTGGGCAACAGAGTGAGAGCCTATCCCAGAAAAAAAAAAAGGGAGGGATTGGCAGTAGTGGGAAACTGCCAGGGGAGGTGGGGGGGACACACCTCATCAATGCCCTGCATAATGAACATTTGTATACCTAACCCTGAATTGGGCCCCATATCTTTAAAATTAAAAATTTTTTTTTAAAAAAGGGAGCAGGGGCTCAGCCCATAATTCCAGCATTTTGGGAGGTAAAGGCAAGAGGAATGCCTGAGCCCAGGGGTTCGAGACCACACTAGGCAAGATGGCAAGATCTCATCACTACAATAAAATCAAAAAATTAACTGGGCGGGTGGTGCACAAACTCTGGTTCCAGCTACTTGAAAGGCTAAGGCAGAAGGATCAACCAAGCCCAGCAGGTTGAGGCTGCAGTGGCCATGAGCCTGCCAGTGCACTCCAGCCTGGGTGACAGAATAAGACACTGACTTCAAAAAAAGAGAAAGGCATCCTAAAATAGTAGAACTGAACCTCGTTCTCAGCTTACCTGAATAATAGCAAGAACAGGTTTAAAGGCAGGGTTTTTTTCTTGCAGTAAGCTCAGAACTTCTTTTGAATTCTGAATGACTTCTCTACAATGAGAAAGAAACACAACATATTCATTTCTTGGTTAGTGAGTAGAAAGGATTGAAATAACATGTATCCTCAGAAAGTTCATTGCCTTAAGTGAAAAGAATTAGACAACAGAAGAGCAAGCTCTAAGCATATAGCATGGAAGGATGGGGAGGGCAAGAGTGACATCAGGAAACACCGATTCAGTGTAAAATGCACAGCTCAATTTTTTTTTTTTAGTTGGAGTCTCACTCCGTCACCCAGGCTGGAGTGCAGTGGCAAGCTCACAGCCACCCCAGCGTCAGCCTGCTAGGCTCTGGTGATCCTTCTGCCTCAGCCTTCCAAATAGCCGGAACTACAGGTGCACGCTACCACACCTGGCTAACTTATTTATTTATTTATTTATTGTAGAGATGAGGGCTCGTCAAGTTCCCAGGCTGGTCTCGAACCCTCAGGCTCAGGCAATCCATTCACCTTGGCCTCCCAAAGTGCTGGGATTACAGGCTGAGCCACCGAGCCCA